TACTCGCGTGCAGTCGCCCATCGCGGCCACAATGTGATCCTTGTCAAATTTTTTTTTGATCCTTAGGCAATTTTTTTTGATCCTTACCAATTTTTTTTGATGCCTATGCCTCACCTTGTTGCCATCAGCATCCTTGCCCTTGCCTTCCTCCTCGACATAGTACCGGGAATTCTCCAGCAGGATCACGGTGCCCGGCTCCGGGTCGGCGCACGCAGCCTCGACCTCCTCGCCGACTACATCATTCATCAGCTTCACAGGCCGTCCCAACTTCTCCTCGACCACCTTGGCCACCGGCTTCATGGAGAACCTTGCAAAATGAAAATGAAAGTCAGGATGCGGTTTCGGGCTGAGGTTTGGGGACCCTAAAACCCAAGCCCTAAACTGTTAACTTTCTTGTCCGTGCCTGGGGCACATTTTCCCCGCAGTAGAAAAATATAAGTGTGTTTGCTGGTTTCGTTCCTTTGATATGTGGTTGCAACGCAGCTGCCGCAACGCGGCAGTGACAAAACACCTCATCCCAAAAAAGGCGAGAGAAAAGGCACACGTTGCGGGAGACTTTCCTCTCCTCCAGATCCCGAAACAGTTGATCAGTTTGGGAAGTTCGGGGCAGCGCTTGCTAAGCCTTGCTCTGCGTGTTTTCGGATGAACGAAAGAATACAGAAAGAGCGAGAAATAAAGAGTGAGAACAAAGTATGTTCTTGCAACTTGCAACTATCATCCTAGGCCCGGCCCACCAAAATCCACTAGGTTTACCGAAAATCAACCAGGTTTCACCAAAATCAACCAGGTTTCACCAAAATCCACCAGGTCTCACCAAAATCAACCAGGTTTCACCAAAATCAACCAGGTTTCACCAAAATCAACCAGGTTTCACCAGGCCAGGTTTACCGAAAATCAACTAGATTTACCGAAAATCAACCAAATTTACAGAAAATCAACCAGGTTTACGGAAAATAAACCACAGGTTTCACCAAAATCAACCAGGTATCTGGACAAAAAATAAAACAACGGAAACGCGGCGGATAAAAACTCTAGGGGCGGCCGAGGGGGGGAACGGCACAATTATCAAAACAAGAGAAATGGTTTTAAAATTAATGAAAAAAGCAAGGAACAACACGTATTTAAAAAAAAGAATGGGTCAAGACACTTCTTTCGGGTTTTGGAAAGGTCTCAGGTCACCCGACCAAAGAAAATAAGCACAATTTTGCGAATTTTGGCTTGCCACGTCGCCAAAACAAACCGTTCGCTTCCACCAAAGGAACACACACATGTCCGGAAAAAAAATGTATCCATAAAGATCTGAACCCCCCCTGCCTCTCAGCCTAATAAACGAAAGCCATGCGACAGACTACATACTCCCCAGACTCAGACCTTCGAGACGCAAGATCCAGGAGCATCTAGGCCCAAAAAGAACACACGTTTCACGCCAAACAAGCAGAGAGAGTGTGAGAGAACGAAAGCAGTTTTCTGTGAGGGTAGAAAGCATGTGTTCCTCGATTGTTTCGGTAAAACAGAACCCGGGTCAATCAATCCCGAAGGGAACTTGCGCTTGAATTCTGCCTCACACTGTCTTGTGAGTTGAGAGAACTGAGAGAATGGGAGAGACTGTCACAAACACTGTCTGACAGCCTTCCAGAGATTCGTTTGAAGCGAAAGCCCGGGACGTGGGAGGCTTGGGAGACAGACACGGGGACGTGGCACCGGGTAGTTTACGATTGTTTTGTCAGAAGTGTTCTGACTTCTGCTTTATTTTGGGGCAGCAGATTCAACACACTTATTGGGTTCTCAAGGTCCTAAAACAAGGTTGGAACACTTGTGGGCACCTCTTGTGGGACCTTGTGGGCACCCCTTGTGGGACACTTCTTCCGCCCCTAAATCCAGACCCGCAAGAAAGTTAACACCCTAAGCCGCAGAACTTCTCGTCCTTCTGCCCGTTGGGGCGACCCAAGTGCGAGCACAGCACCACGGACTTGGCACCGTTGTCGAGGGCATACTTGATGGTGGGCAGGGCCGCATCGATTCGGGCCGTGTTGGTAATGATGTTCGGGTCCTTCTTGTCTTGCGGCACGTTGAAGTCAACACGGATGAAGACGCGCTTGTCCTTCAGGTCTACTTCGTCGATCTTCAGCTTTGCCAACGAGTTGCAGGCGACGACGCTCTTGGCCGCCCGAGGCTTGATGCCCTTTTGCCGGGATGCGGCAGATGCACCTCTGACAGCAGCGACGCTCAAGCCGGCCACGGCCAAGGCGCCCGCGACACCCTGGGTGGCACTGCCGGTGCTGGACGTGGATGCCAAGAAGCCCGGGGCCTGTGCAGCCACCGAAACCTCCCTCTGCACCTCAACCTGTCGGCTCTGGCCGGGAGCCAGGAAGGCCAGGCCTCCCAGGGAGGCAGCACCCAGCAGGCCGCCTGCAAGGACACTCGAGGAGCGAGCCATCGTGCGAAGAGAAGGGCTATGGGCGATGTCGGGGACCTGCTCGAACAGCTTGGGGCCAAAATGGCTGCGGTTCGTTTATTTGAAAGTCTGAGAGGAACATGCTCTTGACCCTTCTGAATGCCTGGATGTGCCTGCCCGAGGTCGCAGCTAAAGGTGCAGCTGCTGGCTGTGCAAATACCGCTGCCACGGGAGATGCCCCGATCGGCTGTCCCACCTGGCATCCAGGCACAGCGCTGGGGCGATCGCCGCAAGATCTTGCTCGAACCTCAGACCCAGTGCGGTCTAAGCCTAAGCCTCCCACAGCACTCGCACCAGGAACGAGTGTTTGCATGATTGCCTTGTCAAAGAAACGAGTCTCTGCTGCCTGCTGGAACAACTCTGACACTCCCCATGTCTACGGCTCCGGCTGATCCCGGAGCTAGAGGGATGGCTGCCTCGACTCAGCAAATACTGCACAGCCTAGAACTTTGAGCACCCAAAAGAGAAAGGTTCATGACCGGCTCAAGTCCGGGCATTGCGAGCTGGAATGGAAGTACTGCTCTGGCGTCTTAGACGCCGTAGAACTCTTCATAGGAAGAAGGCTTCTGGTCGCCAGATTGACACAATCCTTGACTCGCGTAGAACTTAGGCCTGCGGTCGCAAAGGTATGGCGTCTCACGCGTGAGGTACGCAAGCTCCTCGGTCCACCCAATAGTACAATGCAGCAGCCCCTCCTTAGCTTCCACATGCCTGGAAACTCTTGCAGGTGGCTTTTCAATCTTGCAGCAGCTCTTGCAGCCGAGGCTCGTCGCTCCATCCCATGGGCCCGGCCCAGTGGTTGCCATCAGGGCCCGCCACGCAGGAGTGGCCAGCGAAGTACTCTCCACTTACACGCCGCAGGCACGGAAGGTTACAGTAAGCGATAAAGAGTCGATTCTGCATAGCAGTCGCCGGGATGATCTTCGTGCTAACATTGGGCTCTGTGTACGGAAGTGCCGTTGGCACGAGAATGAGCTCTGCTTTCTGCAAGGCCACGATCCTTACCATCTCAGGGTACTCGACATCGTAGCAAATTAGGATGGAGGTTCGTATGCATGCTCCATCTGGAAGCTTTAGGTTCGCAACACAGATATTGTCAGAGGACTCTTGCAGTCCCAAATTACCTTCATTCCCCCAGCAATGGTGCTTCCTGTACCGCAGAACCACGCTGCCGTGCGAATCCACAAGCAGAGCTGTGTTCCAGTGAGTTTTGCCAGGTGCCCTGTCTCTTTCTTCAATGCTTTCTGCATATCCGACGCAGAGCACGAGGCCGACTTCCATCGCACATCTCTTGATTTCCTCTTCGATGTCTTTGGGATCCAGGTCGAACCCCTGCTTCCCAAAGACGTCGTAGCCCGGTAGCATGAGCTCTGGTGTCAACAGGATCTCGGCCTGCCTGGCCTTCGCTTCCTGCGCACGCTTTCGAAGCTGGCGCTTCCAGGTCGTAAGTTCCGGCGCTTCCAGTGCACCTTGCCACAGACTGATGCGCACTGGCCGTCGAAACGACATTAAACACCTGCCACTGGAAAAGGGTCGATGCACTTCCAAACTCACGAGAGCTCAGCTTGTCCTAACAACTACGACATTACACATGTTTCGGCGCAACGATACGCATGCTCAAGCGATTTCGCAAAGGTTGGACCACAGTACAAGTTCTCATGAGTTCAGGCCTAGTTGGGGTGTGGCAAAGATGGCTCAGCCTGTACTGTGGCTATGCTCGAATGACCGAACGGTTGGTGCAGGCCTGGAGGTGCTGGTGTGATGGGGCGTGGACAGCCGGTGTGCATTGTCATCATTTCAAGCCTGCCTTGCAAATTTCGCAAGAGCCATACAGCTGCATGCAGACACAATGCCGCAAAGCTAGCCCGCCAGAGAGGTCACAGGACTGAGCCCAAGACCACACCTGGTGCTGCAGTCGCTGGTGCAGACGGCACCCCCTCGAAGAAGCGCTACCAGCATCGCAGAAAGCAGTTCCGTGAGCTTGGGCCGGCACCAGGGCCTGCAGAGCCGCAGCATATGCGGCCCAGTCCTTGTGATCTCAACAAGAAGAGGCTTCTTTGGTACTGGCCGTGTGCAGCCGAGGTTCTCCCATGGGCACTTGGCAGGGAAGGCGAGCTAGGCACGGACTTCTCCCATTGGTGATGTCAGGTGGCTGACCCTTCCCAGCATGCATGTGATCTGCTGTGACGGCTGTGCATTTTCTGGAATTGAGGGGTAGCGTGTCTAGAGTGATGTCCGTGAAGAAGCGGACAAACTGGCGACAGCTTGATTTTCTACACCAAGAGCATTGCATGCTTCTCCTAGTGCTTGCACTCATGCCCTGAACACTCCGACAGCGAGAAGATCGGACCTTCATCTCAGCAACAGCAGAGCTCCAGAAATGCCTAGCACTGATCCATACTGGAGAGGCTGTTTTGAAGTTTTGAAGTGCTTCAACGCAGGAGACGCTGACCAGCCAGTGCGACATTCAGAGCTCGTCTGCGCGCTGAAGCACCTTCGAGATGAGGGGGGCTGGGAATGGGAAAGCGCAAGCGCAAGGCCATAGGCTCTACAAAGAAGAGCAGCACTGACCAACTTCCCTCCAGGCACCTTGTCATCCCAACTCATCTCACATATGGGCAGGTGCTTTCGCTTCTCCTTTCTTATTGCCTTTTCTGTAGCAGCCCAGGCAGTGAAAGTCTGCACGTACTCCTCCTTGCTCACGCTTTGGTCCTCGTCAAGATCGAAGAAGTCCAGCTCTTTTGGCTCGAGGACTTTCCTCTTCTGCTCAATCTCGCCGTAGACTTTTTCAGCCAAGGCTCTGGCATCGCCTTTGGGGACCTTGGCGCCCGCCCAGCTCATCATATCACGCCAGCAGCTGTTCAAGTCGCCGATTCGCCTCAGACGATTGTAGAAGGAGCGGTAGTACCGGACGGGCGTGGGAAAGACGAACTGCGTTGTAAGCGCCACAGTGCAGTCGTCTGCAGTGTTCAGGGTTTCATGGATCCAGCCTGGGGGAAAGAGCACCGCCTCTCCTTCCTTAACTGTAAACTCGAACATGGGCTTCCATCCGAGCTTGTAGGCCACGCCATCGTCGAAGACCACCTCGTCATCTGGAGATCGCCCGGCTCCCTTTGGCAGTCGCGGCACCGGTCCGATGCGCCAGCGCCGCTCCCCGTGCAAAACCACGCTGAGCGTGCTAATGCAGTGCGAATCCATGTGCGCCCTCGCACCCGTGCCTTTGGCACCGAGCCAGAACTCCGCATGTTCAAACAGTGACTCTGCATTTTTCTGGTCCATGAAAGATGGGACGGAATCCCTAATAAGCTGACGGATCCGCTTCACCACCTTCTTCGACCCAAGGTCGCCATTTCTGTGCTCCCTTACGCCCCAGTAGAAAGGCGCAAACGGCGGAGCATCTGGGTCCTGTTGAAGCCGCTCCTGGGCATCTTCGCCCATCTCCAGGGAAGAAGCCCAAGCGACCTTCCCCATCTCCTGGGTGTTGCGATCCTTCCCAGCATGCATCTGCGCAAGTCCGACCGTCTGTCTACATGTCCGTCCGTCTGCCTGTCTATCTATATTTATCTATTTATCAGTCTATCTTCTGTCTGTCTGTCTGCCTGTCTGTTGGTCCGTCCATCCGTCCGTCCGTCCCT